TCAAGTGTCCACGCTCTCTTGTTCTTCCTGCTTCATTATTAACACCATCCACTTGAAAGGTCACAGTCTCTCTGCATCCTCATCCACCTTCATTCACCTTGTGTCTCCTACTCCAAACAGCTTTTATTTTTAGCCAGTCTCAGACAGCCTCCTGGCTTACAGTTTTGGGGTGTAACTGAGGTTTTGGAGAGCTAATGATTCCCTGCTGCAGCAAGGGTGGCCTCGCCCACTTGTCCTTTTTTGCCTCCTGACAGCACACCTTCATGTCCTCCCTCACCCTAGCTTTGGTTTTCATCAGACCACTAGTGAACCCTTCAGCTCTCTAAACCAGCAAACGCCACTGACCTCTCTCCTTGCTGGCTCTTTTCAGCTTGCTTAGTGATCTTACTCAAATTACCAAAAAGCAAGAAAAACACCCAAGTTGTTCCAAAGAAGGGGAGGGATAGTGAGAGAGGAGGCATTTGCTGGGAGAAGGTAAGATAATAAGGAGAGATCACACCTGTCCCCTTCAGTGCCGTTAAACTCAGACATTTTACCTGACACAAGCCTTAGTCATTCAGTTCTATCCCAACGTTAATTTCAGTTTCTTTACAGTCCTACTAACTTCAGACTTCTGTTTTTCATAGAATCCTAGAATGGTTTGGGTTGGAAGGGACCTTTGTTGTATATATTCCTCTTTCACAACTACTAGATACCAAAAAAAGGAGCAATGTTCATTTGCTGGGGAGGTAGGGTAACACCATTCTTCTCATTTGTTCTCTTTCACCATTTCCCCTTGCCAGTTTCTTATTCTTTTTCCACAGCAGCACTAACATGTAAAACAGAAAGTGTGGTGAATGACCCATCCCAGCCTCATCCTGACTCAAAGCAGAGTCACCAGTCACTGTCCTGGAATAATGGGATGTCTTGGCTGACTTGCCCTAAGTCATAGAGCCTACGTCATAACCAGAGATTTTTATTTTAAGTTTCCTGCTCTGAATCAAATTCACTTCAATGACTGCCAAAAATATCACTAATATTTCGCCTCTTTCAGATAATACTTAGTGAAACAGAATATTGATGTTATTCCATACTAATTAAATAAAACAGCTCTGAAAATTTTCTCCCTAGTTTTTTCTACCACTGTGAAAAATTTAAGAGAGAAACAAAGTCAGGAACTAAAAGGTCTCAGAAAATCTTTCCCTGAGATAGATATTCAGATATATTGAGGACAGTTCAAAAGCAAGCTTGGCTTCTCCAGGGCTACAAAAGCATAATGTATTTTTTGTTAGAGTAGAAATAACTTCCTATAGAAATGCAGGAAGTATGTTTCTGAGGATTTAATAAATGCCTTTTTATGAGAAATTTTAGTGTTTGTACTTTTGTTTTTGCTGCTTGAAGCTGAACAGTTTATTTCTTTAATTTATTCTAAAGCTTTTGCTTAGAACTTTGATAATTGAGATTTGAAATGCAAATATAGGAATGTCAATTCCCAGTCCCACTTAAAGAGAAAATTGCTAAATATTGTTGAACTATAAATTCTTCCCAGTTAACGATTAACTTGCTAAGATAAAAGCTGTGGCTTGTTCCCATGGCCAGCAGTTGCGCTTCAACAGGAAGAACCAGAAAACTGTACTTTTAAATTAATTACTGGTAGAACCTTGCATAATGAACCTATGAGATCTGTACCATAAATATTTGCTGTGAAGAAAGTGAACTTGCAGAAAAAGTGGAAGTACAGAAATAAGGGCACTCTGCTATAGCTAAATGTTTCAGTTTAGACTGCAGGAATATTCTCCAATCATCCAGAAAGGAAGTGAAGAATCATGATTTGAAACAATCAGAAAAGAGAGTTACAATTATGTGTAGAGCTGTTTAATAAGTCCAATTTATTATTTAAACTAATAAATTAATTTTTTTAACCATTCATGAAATTTTCCAAATACAAAGTTACACAGATAATAAAAGGCTCCAAATGTTTTGCAATATGAATTAGTGCAAACTGTGACAGCAATATAACTCTGAAAAGCCATTCACAAGATCAGCATTCTTGACATGAAATAAATCCTTCATCCAACCTGACTGATAAAGAGTCAACCAAAATTCTCCATACTTCTTAGATTCATTGTAGATACTTACACAATTTAATAAGAGGCTTGATTTGAAAGGAATCGTTTCACAATAGCACCCCATTAAAGACAAACCTGGACAATAGTCTTGAATTTTGCTCTTCACACATGGGAGGAATCTGATAAGGTTCAAACCAGGACTGCAAATTAACAGCTGTAAATCTAACATAACTTACGTTGCCTAAATTGGGATACACATCACTTGACCCACTGCACTACAGAAGTTAGTTATTACTTATGTCAGTTTACGGAAGGGTGGTACTCCCAATACTCTGTCAATAAGAATGACTCCACCCCTGGTTCAAAACAAAATGGAAAGTCATATTATCCCAGATCCAGAGACATACCTACAGTGTTATATATGCCAGCAAAGTAAGAAACTTTTCCTTACAGATTTTCTAACACAGCGGTAATAATGCTAGCATGCAATCATATATGAAAATGAAAAAAACAACCAACCAATCCAGAATAGTATTACATCTTTCAGAAAGTTGCAGTGATAGTTTCTGTCTGTATTAATGTTGCAAGATAACTGTAAATAAGAATTAAGGTCTTGTTTTGCCTGCACTTTGTTTTTCCCCACAAAGATGTTTCTGCTTAGTAGCCATGATTTTCAGCCATCATATGCTATTTGTGTGTATGTGATTTGTTTTGTTTCTTATAGAGCTGGTGTGGGTTAACCCCAGTGGGCAGAGAAGCACCACACAGTCACTCACTTCCTCCCCACCCCAAGTGAGACAAGGGAAGGAGGAAAGGAAAAATAAAAAAGAGAATATTTAGGGGTCAAAATAAAACAAACAAACAATTTGTTTAATAAGTGAGGGATGAAAACAAAACAAAACACATGATGCAAAAGCAATCACTCACCACCTCCCATGGGTAGACCAATGCCCTGCCAGTTCCTGAGCAAAAGATGGCTAAGGCCCCTAAAGCCTCCTCTTTCCGCTTTTATTGTTGAGCATGACATTATATGGCAGGGAATATCTCTTTAGTTAGTTTGGGTCATCTGCCTGGTTGTGTCCCCTCCCAGCCTATTGCACACCCCCAAGTCTATTCACTGGGGGCGCTGAGTGAGAAACCGAGAAGGGATTGATGCTGTGCAAACACCGCTCAGCACAAGCTGGAACACTAGTGTGTTATCAACACCGTTCTCATCACAAATTCAAAACATAGCACCATAGAAGCTACTATGAAGAAAATTAACTCTATCCCAGGCAAAACCAGCACACGAGTGCAGCATAATAGGTTCAGTTCCACATCCAATAGTCCTAAATGATAAAAAAAAAATTTAGAAATACTACTGGAAAGCAGGGATAAAAATATTGGCCACGCTACTTTAGTCTTATAAAGGGGAGAAATTTTCTGCTGGTTTTGTGAGCTAAACCAGCTCACCAAAAGGTACAATGAATACAAGAAGTAATGAGGGGGTAGGACAAGGCAGCACAACAGGAAACAAGAAAAGAATGAAAGAACAAGACCATAGCACCCATCTTTTTTTGCTGGCAATGAGCATTTACATCAGCTTTGTCACATCACCAAACAACACTCTAAATTTGATGTAGTCTTGAGTGGAACTAAAGCAGCTTCTAGAAGTAGCAGGCATAAATAGAACCCTCATAGGCAGTATTCAACACCATTTGGCTAAGGTAATGGTTTCACATCCCTACACACTTCCCCTTTGGAAACCCTCTTCCTTATGCCCATGTCTTCCTCCCTGGTTTAGACTGAAGAATCTTGTAACTCATCTTGCACCAGCTCTGGCAGTCACTCATTGGGCCACACTGCAGAGGCAACTTAGGCAACTAAAATGGCAGACTACCCACCACCACCCCCCTGCCACCCCTCAAAAAATAAGAGAGATAATATTTTTGTGCCATTTTAGTGACTTGAATCAGCCAAAAGTATGACATAAGACACAAACACACTTTAAAGGGAAGCAGGGGTGGGAATAGGAAAGAGGCTTAAGTCTAGGTAAATACTAAAAAATACATATATCAGTAGGTTTTTTTCCATATTTTTTTCTAGTTTCTCTTTTAATTTCAAACTATAGAAAATTATGCTATTTTTCTTGAAAAGTGATAAGGCTGCAAATCAGCACCCCTTTACCATTGATAATGCAATCATGTCACTTTGCATTGGCAGCCCTCCCTATGACACATTGGTTCCAGCCTAAGCCACACCTAGACCACTGCAGAATTAGGTCCTCCAGCCTCCCCGTTTCTTAGAGAGAAAAAAAACGTAAGGTATAGGTGCTGATGTTCTAGCTAACAAAGACAGCTATTCAGTATGCCATATATTTATGCATTTTTGTATTCACAGTATATATTTATAAATAAACCCACGCACTGCAGTTAAATACATTGCAACATGACTCCTGCATGCAATCCTTTTAAAAACAAGCCTTTTGTTGTTACAGAAATTACATCAGCCTCTTGTAGCTAAATGGTTAAAGCATCAGTCCTATGCTCAAGGCAATGTAAATTAGCTTGCCCAGACAATATTCTGTCAGTGAAGCCAAACTAAAAAGAACATTTTAGATAATAAATATTATCATAACATTTTGCCAGACTCTGCACAGGAAAAGCGGGAAAATAAGCATGTAAACTTTCATTTCATATAGAAAAATATTTAAATAACTTTGGTTAAGAGGTCATTCAGTAACAACAGGACAATATAAGCTGACATAAAAAAATGCATCTGAAAGGAAGTCTTCTATAGCTATAACTTTTGTTTAAAAAATTCAACAACTTTTCATTCAGTCCTTAAGTAATGAAAACTACTTGCATTGCAAACTTGCTATTTATTATTAAAGGCTAGTATTAAAAAAACCACTCCAGCACTTTCATAGCTGGTCCATTCTGTTAGTTTAAAAATATATGAAATAGGACTGACCTGGACAGAGATTCTGCTGTGTCTGTGGAGTTAATTTTTCTTGTACACCATGCTTTTCCAAATGCCCTGCAGTTGCATTCTGGTGCGGGCCTGGTTGTCTGGTGGCAAATCCCAATTCTCCAGGTTCAGAAAACTTCACATAAAACTGTGGCTCCAAATCACCGAAAGAGAGGTTCATAGCACCATGCCTCCCACTGCCATAGTCGCAGAACATAGATTCGTCCTCGGCGTTCTGTGTTGGTAACGGGAGAATCCGATGATGCAGCTGCGGGCTAGGCAGTCTCGAAGATAATGGAGAAGGAATAGGTGACATTTGTTTGTGCGTATTAGATAGCGGATATGAATTACTAAAAACATTACTCACGGCTACTAACGAGGGTGAATGCAGCCTTTTCTCTTCCAGTTTAACATTGTTACTTGTCTGAGAAATATCAGGACTTTCATTTACAGGCAGGTTCAAAAATAAATGCTTGCTGCTTCCCCGGGATGCTGTGGTTCTTTTCTCATATATTGAGCCTGGCAGGTTTCTGTCTACTCTTGTAATTTGTTGCAGTCTCTTCCATTCTGCAGCTTCATCTAAACTGTCACTCCGTATAACTTTCAGAAGAGCTTTATTGACTGCTCCCACAAGGTTGCATGACTCATCAGTAATGTGCACTCTCTCTGCTTTGTTCTGCAAACTAGAGCCGTCTTGCTCCTTCTCCTGCAGCCCAGCGTTTTTAGAGTTTCCGGCAGCTTCATCTACAGAGTATACATCAGTTCCTGATATAAACTCATTTTGTACTGTTGTGAGAACAGGAGAAATGGTTTCTTTATCTCCATGAAAACCAACTAAAGACTCTGCATGGGGTTTGGCAACTTTTTTAACACAAGCTTCTGAATCCTGTACTCCAGCATCAGCTGTGGTTCCTGGTTTCACCTTGCATACCGGCTCAGCACGCTTGCTACTTCTCAAGCTTTTGGCAGCAGCAGATTGATTTAATGTCTCAGGTTTGTTAGATAGACTGTCCCGAGATGACTTTACCAAAGTGACACTCTGTTGTACCTTCGTAAC